ATATCTGGTCAGCATGGATGAGTTGGACCGAAAGGTCTGTTTCCATGCTGTACATCTCTCTGACTCTATTTGTCACAGTCCAAAAAGAAACCTCCAATCTCCCCAAATATTTCGTGTTGCTGTTGGAAGTCATCTCCAATCTAACTCGGTTTATTGCTAAAAATCTGCTGGTAAATGTGGAGGTACCTTTATTTTATTTTTATATATATCCACCAACAGGGAAAGGGAATTATTGGACTCTGGATCCTAACTGCGAGAAGATGTTTGACAATGGGAACTTTCGCCGGAAGAGAAAGCGGAGAACCGACTCCAACTCGGGCCTAGGCGGCTCGCTCACTGGCAAGCCCCAGGACAATGCAGCAGCTCTCGGTATGAAGGTAACCGAGAGCCCGCCGCTCTTGCTGGAAACCACCTCGCCGGAGCCGGAGCATTCACGGGGCTCCAGCGACGACCCGAAACCTTCCACGCCGTCGTCCAGCCCTTGTCTGAACAATTTCTTCAACAGCATGGCCGGCGTGGGCAGTGGCACCATCAGTAGGCAAGTGTCCATGGGCCTTGCCAATGACTTCTTCCAAAGGAATGCGTCTGCACTCGGTTCCTACTCGTCCAACAGCAGCTTATCCTCGCAGGAAGCCAGCGAGGTGACGGACTCCTTTCACTTCAACCGCGCGGGTTATTACAACACTTTCTCGGGAGGTCAAACAAACCAATTCAACAGCCACTTCTACAACACCTTCAGTGTCAACAGTTTGATTTATCCCCGAGAGGGAACGGAGGTCTGAAGAATACATGAGCAGTAGACTCTCTGCAAAGTGAAGAATTCAGCTCGCCACCTCCAGTTTCACACTCCCCACCCCCATCTTCAATCTCTTAGTCCGTCTTTAATCCTTATCTCCCCAACTTCGATCCCTCTCTTCCCAACTTCAATCCCTCTTCTTCAATCCCTCTCGCTATCTTCAATCTCTTAATCCGTTTTTAATCTCTCTCTCCCCATCTGTCAACCTCTCCCCAACTTCAGTCCCTCTCTCCATCTTCAACCTCACTCTCCATTTTCAATCTCACTCTCCCATCTTCAATCTCTCTCTCCCCATCTTCAATCCCTCCCTCCCCATCTTCAATCTCTCTCTCCCCACTTTCAATCTCTCCCCATCTTCAGTCCCTCTCTCCCCATCGTCAATCTCTCTCTCCCCAACTTTAATACCTCTCTTGCCAACTTCAGTCTCTCTCTCCATCCTCAATCCTTTCCTTCCCATCTTCAATTCCTCACTCTCCACCTCCAGTCCCTCTCTCCACCTACAATCTATTCACTTCATTTCCGTTGCCTCCTACAATCTTACTCCTTCCGTCCTGAATCTCTCTCTTGCTCTCTCCTTCAAACTTTTTCTCCATCCTCAGCTTCACTCTTCGGTCTCCCTCTCTCATTCTCTGCTCAGGGCACAGAATCTTCAATTTACCCACACAGCATTCACCTCACCTTCCTTTTGGAAAGAAAAGATGCCCGCATGTTGATTGACACTATTTTCTATCTAATGCAACGATTGAAGGGTTTGTAGCGACGTATCGGTTTAATGCCGAAGCCAAAATATTTTGAACTGAAGTGGATTGAACCAACTGAAGCGGCTGGTCTCGGAGTGTGATGGTGCTTTTTGTAGCTTTTGGACCCACGGGTTTGTTAGTTTAATAGATCAGGCATTGTTTTGGGCTGTGAATGACTTATAAAACAAACAGTAAACATAAAAACAGAACGTGCTGGTGAAACTCAGCAGTCTCTGTGAAAAGAGAAACATTTCTGTATCACTCTGAGGAATCATATCAGACTCCAAACGTGAACAGTCCACAGACTCGCTGAGTTTCTCCATTATTTTCTGTTTTCACTTCAGATTTCTAACATCATCTGCATAAAGAAGTAGATAATTTGGCTGCAACGTTGTGTCAAGTGAACAGAGACTGTTGCTTGAATTTGACGATGGGACTGATTTTAGGTTAGTAAGCAGGCTCTCATTAACGGACTTACTGGGTTAATTCTTCACCTCCCACTGATACTGGGGACCGCCTTAAAGCTTTTTAAAACACAGTTAACACATATTTGATGAAGAAACAGCTGTGTACAATACGACTTTACGAACGGAAATGTAAATAAGCAATTTGTGTGTAAATTATATTTCTGAAAGTCGGTAGTTATATTTATATATCTTTTTTTTAAAAAAAAACGACTGGAAATTAATTGATGTCAGTTTTAGATTGACAAAAAGTGGCCAGCCTTTCAAAGTATTAAAAACGCAAATTGTTTTGAAATAATCAAAAATACTGTGCAGTGACTTGGCCTGCGAGCTAGATTTTGAAAAAAAAACTTTAAGAACGGAAATTTGCCTGAGTTTCTTTGTCTCCACGGCCCACCCAAACACACAACACACAGGGCAAGTTAGATTTCAGTGCAAAACTGAACATTGAATGGAATTCATTAGCACATTATTCAGACAAGAAGTGCTGGTCTGATTCCCCTTGTTGAAAAGGGCCAAATAATTCAAGTTGTTTGCAAGAGATGATTAGATTAGATCCAGGCTCACGAGGCCGCGGGTTCTTCATTTAAATACCAGCAATATGCATCTATGTGGCGCCTTTCGCTCTAAGTAAAACCATACAAGGCACACGGGGAAGGAAGAGAACACTTCTGATGAAATGAAAATACAGAGGGAACTTTCTGGAAGGTGCAGCCCATAAAACAGAAATTTAAAAAAAACTTAAGAGAAAGCTTGTTAAATCGACAAGTCTAGGCCCGAAACGTCAGCCTTCCCGCTCCTCTGATGCTGCTTGGCCTGCTGTGTTCATCCGGCTCTACACCTTGTTATCAAGGAAATTGGTATACTGGTCTGTGTATAGTTTTAACATGTCAAGACCGGAATAAAAGTCAGCATGCTCTTTTTAAGTAATGAAATAAATGTCTTTCTGAACGAAAAATAAATTAGCGGTTTTTTTTTACACGACCACGCCGTTTCAGTGACAGATAAACTTGCTCCTCTCCCTGTTCCCCATGTTTTTTTTTGGGTAAAGAGAACTGTTGAATTTGAAAAGGTTCCGAAACAATGGAAAAGGCTCCATCGGAACCGCCCAGGCTATTAGACAGGCGTCAGGTAGAGACTAAATAACGTTAGATATCATCTACACAACAATTGGGAACTATTTAAATGCTCCCTCGGGGAACTCTTTAACAGATAGACGGCCCAAAACAAGCGGCTCCTCAGACACTGATTAAACGTTGTCAGAGCTCGAGAGCGCGGAATGCCAAACATTCATTACAGAATCCTCATTTACTTCAGGGCGCTTTATATTTCGAGATCTGCTCCCCCTTTGGTCTAATGGTATTATAGAGGATTATTGTGAAGCCACATTGGGCCGAACATTCGTACCAAAAATTGTCCTTTGCAAAATTTGTTGGTGCTTCAACTTCTTTAAGAAAGAACAAATATAATTATTCCATCAAGAACATGACTGAAAACATTTCCAACATTTAAGGTAAAGTCGCTATCAGACCATAGAGTTGCTCTCACATTATAGAGAGAGACAAATGATAGTGATTTAGCCTGAGGGTCACCACACTTCAGGCAAGACTGAGGTTTATAAAATCGTGAGGGGCATGGACAGGGTGATTAGCCAAGGTCTTTTCCTTGATGTGTGTGAGTCCAAAACTGAGGGGCATAGGTTTAAGGTTGAGAGGGCAAAGATTTAACAGGGACCTCTTTCACGCAGAGGGTGGTGTGTATATGGAAGGACCTGCCAGAGGATGTGGTGGAAGTGGGTACAAATACAAAATTTAAGAGGCTCTGGATGGGTATATGAATAGGAAGAATTAGAGGGATATGACTAGATACTGGCACATGGAAATAGATTAATTTAGGATACCGGATTGGTGTGGAGGAGTTTGGACCGATGTTTCCATGCCGTACAGCTCTATGACTAAGAGGAGAGTCATTCATGGTAACCTCAGCCAAAATAGTGATCCTTCTGAAAGATGCAGTGTATTATTCACCTTGAAGTTTCTGCTTCTGAAAGATCTACCCCCTTCGAGGGGATAATGTTGAAGATTCACGCGATTGACTCCTGAATATGAAAGGTTTGTCCTCTGAGGAGATATTGACTAGAATGACTGAACTCCTCTATCTTTACAAGAGCGAGAGGTGGTCAAGAGGCTCAGAAGAGACAATTTACCAAATCATGTCCATGTTGATTTTCTTTTGAGCGATCCAGTCAGTCCCATTCCCTACTCTATTCCCATAGTGCTGGAAATTCATTGTCTTCAGACACCTTTTCCACTCAACTGCTGTTCCTTTACCATTCTCATAGATTTCCAGCATTCTCACTTTGCGGCTTAAAATAGTTCTTCCTCACAACCTCCTTCCATCACCCACGTTTAAACTGGAAATCTGTGTCCACAGTCCTTGTAAAACTAATAAATGTGAATGGCTTTTCTTTTGGTCTACCTTATGTAAACTTGTCATAATATTGCATAACTCTTAACAAATTAGGGGGAGGTAGTAGTGATGATCACTGGACTAGTAATCCAGAGCCCCACGTTAATGCTCTGGGGACATGGGTTTATAACTGAATCACACTTGGTCAGATCATAGAATCCCTACGGCATAGAAACTGACCATTCAGCTGATCAAGTCCACACTGAGTCACACCCTCTGAAGAATCACCAGGCCACCCAATGGTGAAATTGAATTTGTTAAAAATCTGAAATAAAATGACAGCCTAATGGCAATTGTTGAAAAAATCCATCTACTTCACAATTTCCTTTAGAGAAAGACATCAGTAATCCTTGCCTGGTCTCACACCTACAATTGACTTCACGATGACAGCAATGTGATTGACTCTAAACTTAGACAAACCCAAGACCATTTCCATTTAGAAGGACAAAGGCAGCAGACACATGGGAAGACCACCACCTTCAAGTTCCCCTCCAAGTCACTGATGACCCTGACTTGGAAATATATTGCCATTCCTTCACTGTTGCTGGGTCAAAATCCTGGAAATCCCTCCATAAGGGTATTGTAGCAATAAATGCTAACCAACCAATGATGCCAACATGCTATGAATGAATGAAAATAATGCTGTCCTCTGTTGAGATGGGCAATAAGTGCTTACGTGGCCAGAGATTTCCACATCCCATGGATGAATAAAAAAAATTCTGAGCAACATCCTTCACTCCAAAGAGAGCAGTTCCAATTTCTCAGTCCTAACCTTGTAGCTAAGCTCCCTCAACCCTGGAACTAATCTGGTAAGACTCCTATGCACCCTCTCAGGACTCTTAGCTCCTTCCCCGAGTGTGACGAACAGAATTAGGCTTAATTGTCCTTACGTTGTGGTTGCACCAGAGCTTTATGTAAGTTCAGCTTAACCTCAATCCATTGCTCTATTTATAAAACCCAGGATTCCACACCCTTTGTCCCACGCCTTTCTCTTTCAATATGTCCTGCCATCTCCAAAGATTGATGTACATGCAACCCTAGGTCCCACTGTTTCTGCAATCAACTTTGAACTATTACTACTTCTATACCATCTTTTCCTAATCCTTTTGCCAGGTTGCATCACCTCAAACTTCTCTGCATTAATTTCTATCCCTCATGTTTCTGCCAATCAATTGATACTGTTGCTGACTATTGACATCATCCTCATTCTTTGCAATGTTTTCAAGTCTGGGATTATTGGCTTACTTGGAAATGTATTCCAAGGTCCAAGCCATCTATAAACATATATATCAAAAAGCAGTGGTCCTACAATG